AACATTTTAAAACAAGTTTGAGGAAGCACTTCTTTACACAGCGTGTAGTCAGAGTATGGAATAGTCTTCCTGCTATTGTAGTGGAAGCTAAAACCATGGGTTCCTTTAAATCAGAGCTAGATAAGATTTTAACAACTCTGAGCTATTAGTTAAGTTCTCCCCAAACGAGCTTAATGGGCCGAATGGCCTCCTCTCGTTTGTAAATTTCTTATGTTCTTATGTTCAATGCAACATCATAAAGAGAGAACAATACAAAAACTGGGAAATGGAAACATAAAGAAATAAATGAAAGCCAGATGACAATAGAGGAGAGGAACGAGAAAGTAGGGAGAAAAAAAACCTCTGGGGGACCAAGGTCTAAGCCCCTGAGCATGCTAACATTATAAGAAAAAGAAAAGAGTGGGTTTGCTTCATAATCAAGTCAAGCCAAAGTCCATCAATGATTCTAGGCCAGCCTGTGCAGATTGAAGTCTGTACCCACGATGTTACAGTTTGTTGGTCACATCCACAATGTCACCCTTCCATGTAACTGAAGCAGGACTTTCGCTCAAATGGGGCCCATCTGGACATGTTGGAAGGAAGGCAGAGAGCATGGGTGGTCAAAACATGCAATGACACATTAATGAACACGCATAGTAGATAAAAATGGTATGTACAGCAACACCAGCAGCCATAGGTACAGAGTGTCAATGATGTTCAGCAGCTTCGGGGGTTCCCATAAAGTCTCAGGATGTCCCACAGGGTAACTCGATCAACCGAGTCAAATTCTTCACTAAAATCGACAAAGACTGCAAAGAACCTCTGCTGATATTCGCCCCTTCCGTTCAATGAGAACCCTCATTGCCAGGATGTGGTTGATGGTATGTCTTAGACATAAAAATAGACTGCTCTGGTCACTGTTAGGTGGGCAAGTTGAGGATGACTCAAGCAAGGACCTTATCCAGCACTGAGAGCAGTGTTATCCTTCCTGTTACTGAAATGGACAACAAGTCCCGTTTTCCAGTCAATTGGTATGACGCCCATCTCCAAAATAGAAGCAAAGATTGCTTGCAATGCCGGCTTGGAGAAGTTCACCCTGGAAGCAACAGATTCTTGCACCTTCTCTACCCCCAGCTGGTTTACCACTTGTGCAATCTCAGTGAGATTGGGTTGTTCACAGTTAATCGGAGGATCAGATTTAAGAACTGTGGACCCAGAGATGTCCAACATCCTACCCAAAAGATTTAAACAGCTGCTCAAAGTAGCTGGCTCAGTGAGTCATGACTGCAGTGTCATCCATAAGGACCATTCCATCACTCGCCCAGACTGAAACAGATTTGGATGTGTGTAATGTTTCAGTTCCTCTGTAAGCAGGAGATGGGTTGCTAGACCATAGATGGTGTGTCACTTGCTCACAGATACCTCTAAGAAAGTCTCCATATCTGCCCTTAGGGCCCTCACAGCCACCCTTCTCAGTTCTCAGTACAGACTGGGAACTATCAAGCCGTGCACTGCACTGCAACTTCTCTCGATAATAATCAGCTCGTGGCATTTTTACTTGCACAAAAATGTTCTGAGGGAAGAAGTATCAATGATTGGTTCAGAGAGAAAACCAATCAAATTGCGGAGGAGGTGGGTCTAAGCAACTAGAGGAGGTAGGACCAAGAACGCTGATTGGTCAGTCCCACCTCCTCTGTGTCCTAGGACCCATATGAATATAAGAAAGCACAGCATAAATCGTAACTAATAAAAAAAACAATAGCTGTAATAATAATAAACAGAAAAGAATGTAATCACAAGATTAAATATACAATAATCCACAGCATCATAACAACAACAGCAGCAATAATAACAATAATTCCCAAACAGACCGAATAGACACGTAGAGGATAATGGAACAATTCAAAGTAGTGTCCACTGAGGTGTATCACCTCCTCTGTGTCACTCTGTTGTCCTGGATGATAGGTGCAGCTTCACCCCTCTGCTGCCATGATGGCATTTCAGTTAGCAGAAGGACACTCCTAATCACTCCCATTCCAGGTTGCTCACCCTCCCATCTTCCCCTACCTCATCCCTCCCCAAGGCTGCGCAAGCTCAGGAAGAAAGGAAGAACCCCCAGCCCCCTCTCACACCCACCTGGGCCTCAGGGACTCACTGTGTGCAGATTAATGCCATCAATGTGACAGTATCATCACGGCAGCTGTAATTTGGTGTACTTCCCAAGCTGCCATTTTGGCATCTTTTTGCGGTTTTAAATGTTTTGTTTGCTCCCTTGTGGCAAATCAGTGTCTTCACTCTGTGTGCGCTGACTCATATAGCAGATTCTGTTGCTGTGGAAATAAATGGCGTCTATTACATTGAGCCCTCAGGCAGCACGCTATGAAGGAGAGGCAGAAATGGCCAGAAACAATGCTGATTATGGTGTCTGCATGCATTATGTTGCAGTCCCCTGTTCCCAGTGCCACTAGGACCAGCTTGGGACATGTCCCTAGAGATGGGCACAAATACATCAAAAAGTATCCTGTTACAAGTTACAAATACTTTCTCATGAAATGTAACAAAATAAAATACCAAATACCGGTGTAAGAAAATGTATTTAATTAAAATACAAGTAAAGTACAAAATACAAAAAACATATAAAATAGTAACGGTACTCAATGAATATGTGTACCATTACAGTCCTAGTAATGTGTAATATTTACACAATGTACAGCTTGCCCTAACTTTAAATAGAATAATCATTTTGTGATATATGTGTTATAGTGTTAATTGTGAAATGAAAAATGACTTTTGTAGTATTAGTAACGTAATGAGAGCTCAACATGCTGCACCTGCAGCAGTGGGTTGTAGTCGGGGGGTGTCGCGATTCAGTGTTCCGGAACTGCAGTATAACTGCAGTATAATCATAAATGTTTGTATCTCAGTGTCGGTCTTAGTTTCAGAACTGTTTCAGTCCTAATTTATGCCCAGTGTTTTGCTAAACAGCTTTACTAAACCAAACATTTACAGCGGCGTACAAGTAAGGCAGACAGTACATACAGTACGTAAATATACAGTACGTGATGTTGACTAGGCATAAGTGCAGCTAGGCTGAGCTTCCAGTGAATGTCCAGGTACAAATACAGTGGTACCTCAGAACTCGAAACTAATCCATTCAGAACTCGGGTTCACATCCTAAAAATTTTGAGTTCTGATCGAATTTTCCCCATAAGAAATAATGGAAAACTAATTAATTGGTTCCTGGCCCCAAAAAATTACACCTAAATATGTTTTTTTAGCATTTAAACACAAAATGAACAGGATAAAACAAGAAGAGCATTTTTTTCTTAATGGCTTCCAAAACGATAAAGAATGTACCCCAACACTACTCCTGTCCTACCCCGATTGTCTGCTCCTTCCGTATGCCACGCCCCCTCGTTAACCTTGTGTGGAATCCCCGTGTGATCAGCTGTTTCTGGTTGTTGTCATTAGTCCTCTGTATTTAGTCCGCGTTTCAGTTTGTTTCCCCAGTTTGGTCATTGTAACGTCATTGTGTTGTTCTGCCTGTTCTCAATTAAACCCCGTGTTTCCCGATCGCTTGAGTCCTGTCCCTGCTTCCCCGGTCCTGGCTCGGCAGATCGTGATAACCCCATGCTGTGCCCCAACACTGTGTCAACACTAGACTTCCCCATGCGGTCCATTGTTTATTTTTATTATTACTCTGTATTCGTTAATTTGTTCATTGTAACATTTGTACAACTATTGCGTAACTTTTTGGTGAGCAATGGCTACCAAAACAATATAAAGTACAGTGTATTACCTGATACAGTATTTTCAATAAAAAAAGCACTATCACCAACAAACAATGCTATCACAGCAAATGCATGGCTGAGACTGAAGCGTTACGCTTTGTTTCCACTGAGAGACATGCCCCGTGAAACATTTCCCCGCACGTACAAGTCATCTTAGGTCAGCGTTCGCGGTTCGACTTCTGAGATTCAGATCAAGTTCTAGGTCTTTTTTTTTTTTCAAACTGGTTGGTTCAACTTTTAATAAATTCAACTTCTAATGAGTCCGAAAACTCAGTTCAATTACTCTCAGTTCAAGAACTGAGGTACCACTGTACAAGAAATTTTGGAGCAGGAACTACACAAGAACCTCTAATAAAGCAAGAAACTAATAAGACTTCAAAAATCAAAAGTGAAACATAAATACATTCAGGGATTTTAAAAAAGCATCAGGCTAATAGAGGAATTCCTGGAACAAATGGGTCTTGACGCATTTTCTTGAAGTTAGAGAGGGAATCTGATGACCGGATGTGGTTCAGGTAACCACACAAGAGAACCATCTGGAGTGACTCTTCTTACTTGGTGGAGGGGGATCCAAGCAGTGTTGGTTTGCTGACCAAAGGGGGCAAGATGGGACATAGATCTTGATGGAGGCCTCTGGGTGCCTGTCCATTGATGGACCAGCAAGTCAGGACCAGGGACTTGAACTTGATGTGAGTGTCAATAGGGAGTCAGTGAAGAGAGACAATGGATATCAGATATTGTGGGGCGTGTGGCTTAGTGGGCTAAGCCTGTGTGCCTGTAATCAGACAGTCACTGGTTCAAACTCAGCCTCTGTGAGTCCTTGAACAAGGCCCTTAACCCCCAGCTCCCTGGGCACCACTGCAGGTGGCTGCCCTTTGCAGACAACTTACTCTACAAATAAATAAAAAACAAAAATAGCAAGTTCAGGGAGGGGTAAAGACAATTCGCCACGGGGATTAATAAAGTATCAATTATTATTATGTACAACTAAACACCCTGGCTAACCAGAACATAACTAAACAGCTTGACTAACCAAAACCAAATTAAAAATGTTTGCTACTGTATTATCCGATAAGAACATAAGAAATTTACAAATGAGAGGAAGCAATTCAGCCCATCAAGGTCTTATGGGGAGAACTCGACTAATAGTTCAGAGTTGCTAAAATCTTATCTAGCTCTGATTTAAAGGAACCTAACAGGAAGATTATTCCATACTCTAACTACATGCTGTGTAAAAAAGTGCTTTGTGAAATCCAGTTTAAAATGTTACCCCTATTTATTCCGACATTTGTTATTTTCCATTTGTGGAACAGAGGACTTTTCCAGTTGCCTTTATTCTTAATTTTACAAGTAAACCACCTTGGTTGTAGTTCCCTAGATTTAATTTTGCTCTAAACAGGTGTGAAGTCCCCTTGTGCTTTCAATAATGTGCTTTAAAAAAATTCCCATGCCTCTCCATCCAGTTTACAGTTTCTAGTTTCAGTCTCATACCATTAAAGTTATCCTTCCTAACACTGTATATTTTTGCTTTGGACTTTGCTCTTCAGACACTAAAAGTAACCTCAAATTTAACCATGTTATGATCGCTACTGTCAAGTGGTTTTAAAACCTGAAATTTTCCAATCCTATCCTGGTTATTAGAGAAAAGAAGTTTGAGAATGGTTTATGCCCTGGTAGGGGTTTTAACAAACTGAGTAAAAAAGCAATCCTTTACCAATTCCAACATCTCAAGTTCATTTTCAGTAGAGCCAGAGACTATGCCCCATTGTATCCCAGGTAAATTAAAATCACCCGTAACTACCACATTGTTTTTATTATTCATAATTCTGATATCATTGTATAATATTCTGCTTTCCTCTGCAACTACACTGGGTGCTCTATAACAAACACCAAGAATTAGGCCATTTGAGTTTTCAGCATCTACCCTTATAGCTTCTGTACTTTTATTTTTAATCAGTGAGTTCCCTTGGCTGCAAGTTTTATTTTACATACACAGCAACACCACCTTCCTTCTTGCCTATCTGGTCCCTAAGGAACAAGGTATTAGGTGTAACCATCCATATTATATTCCTATAATGTCGTAAGAGTCTGATGAAATAAAAGCCTATAAATCATAAATTTTGTTTCTAATGGTCCTAGCTTTTAAGTACAAACAGCAAAGGGTAGAACTTTTACAGTGCCCACTTTCATTATTATTTAGGGTTTTCTGTCTAATTTTAAGTAACCTCCCTGCACCCCCAAGTCATAGTTTAAACACTCCTCAACTACTGGTTGCATAGATTATCTTCAGGTATACCTTCGCCATAGAGGGTAGCAAGGTGGGGCACACTTATTCCAGAAGATCTCTTCATACATGTTCATATACTGTAAGTCAGCATCTGTAAGCTTGTTGTCCATAAATAGGGTTTTATGACAATGCCTATGTCTTTCATAAGCTCCTCCAGCTTACTCACCTCTCTTACCTTCCTCTCTTATGCTGTGCTGCTGCTCTGGTATTGTTGGCTTAATTACTCTGCATTGACCCGAAATTTGCTTCTTCTCAACCCCAGGGAATCCTCGCAGCAATCCTTTGTAAGTGCTCACGAGACGAAGGATTTATACCTGTCAATAAAAACCTATGGTAAGTGCTTCCTGACCCCTAAATCCAGTCACTTTCCAACAGAGAAAAGAATGGGCTTCCAAAAATCACAAATCACTGCCCCCTGAGACATGCATTTTCATACCACTAATGACAAACACTGATGTGAATAATGGCAGCAGTGCAGGCTTGATTGATTCACCCAGCACATCACTTCTTCTGCGTGCCAGGAAAGAGGCTAATTTGTTTTGGGTTGCAGTGGGTGCACCCCCTGTTCACCATCAGGAAACGCAGTAACTCCACAAAACTGATCTGGCTGAAAGAGAGAGTAATTCAAAAGAAATCCAGCTGGACACAGTAGTGTGTTTTCAGGTTTTCCCGGAGAGGTACAGCTTCCAGGTTTTGTAAACAGCAATCTTTCACCATATAAAGATTTTTGCATGATTTGTTTTCCTGTTCCTAATATAGTTCTTTTAGTTTGTAGTTTCTGGTTTTTAGCTGTTTTAGGTCTTTTAGTTTTAGGGTGTTGTTGTGGGTGAATCATAATTAATGTATCTTTTTGTTTAGCTATGCTTGGTAAAACTGGAAAATCTTATACTGGAGTCCACAGTGTGCTGTATCACTGAACTGACACTGTGGTCCGCAGTGTCCTGGGAGACAAGAAAGTCCCCTGCTTGTCCTCTTACTCACTCGCCTGCTTCTGTCCCCAAGGTCCCTGTCCTTCATTACTTGCACAAGCTGCTTTGCCTTCATCATGATGGGATTAATGTATTTCATCATTGACATCAAGGGCTGGTGGGAGGGGAAGCCCTTCATTTACCCAGGTGAGCCCAGTGTGAGGTGCTGGTGTGTGTGTGCCACCTGCTAGACTGAGTACAGGAAGTTTCCTATCCAAATTCTACGACAAGGTGCTTCTTTTCCTCGATGCACACTCAGCCAGCTGAATACTCACACTGAGCACAGATGAGCCGGTCTTACAGTGACAGCTGGCATGAGCCAGTCGCCATTGTACAGAACAGCTCCTTACTGGGGGTGACCGTAAAAACACCAAAGAAAAGCCCTGTGAGTTATAGTAGCGCCGCTGTGCATGACAGAGCAGGGCAGGCATTTTCTGCAGATGGCAGGAGTAGGCATCTGCTGCTGGGAGGGACCAGCAAAAGGAAGAGGGCGGAGCAGCAAGGCACTTACAGAAGCTGTGGAGAAAATTTAAAGTCATCCACACATGAGTCTTTGTCCCTCTCAGCTCGTAAATAACACATTATCAAGAGTTACTTTTAATCTTATCAGCATCTGTAATTCACCAACAGTGATGTAAATAACAGCAATGCTTTTGCTTATGTCAGACTCTGGAGAGGGGTTCATCTTGCTGTCTTGGGTTTAGGCTGCTGATTGTTGGTGTTTTTACTCCTAAAATATTTACTCATTCTTTGACTTTTACATACAGAACTCAGTACAAATTTTGGTTGGCAATAACTGTGCTTATTTGCATAATCCACTAGTTAGAGCTGCAAAACGTCCAGCTATGATGAAAAGGAATGAAAAGGTGCAGAATGCTGTTACAGTGAAGTGGCAGAGGATCTTTAAGTTTGGTGAGATTCCAAAAAAGCCTGCCAGCAGTCAGTGTTGCTGCACCTTTCCAGAATCAGTCAAACTACAAACGATCTCCCTGTATCACTGCTGACTTGTGAGCTTGTCTTTGGTGGTTTCCAGCAATTCAGAGCAGCCTGCATACAAGCACAGCACATTTCCTGTGATAGCTGTCTTATTCTTGTGACCAAGTCATGCCCTTTGACTGGCCTTTCTGAAGGTAATATCAGCTGGTGATTTGGTGCTTTCTTCTGCAGGAATGAACTCCATTTTCGTGTATGCAGGCCAGAATATCCTGGGGTTCTATTTGCCATTCAAGTGGGAGCCGGCTAAGCTGAGTCATGGAGAGCTCCTTCTGCAGAGTTTGTTGAATATCATTCTGTGGGTTTACATTGCTTACCTGCTGTACAGGAAGAGGGTCTTCATCAAATTATAATGGTTCTTCATCAGCTAAGTTACTCACACTACAAATGGCAAGACCACTAACATGAGCTACATTACCAGTCAAAAGCTTTGGAACACAACAGATTTATACTACTTTTCCAAAGATGTAGACATCGTTTTTATTATTGTTAAGCATTGGAAAGTTAAACACCTATAAATGAAAATATAAGTCAAATAAAACAAGTTTCCTTTATAACATGGAAAGAGAACATGTACATATCTGGCATCCTATTAACTGGTTGTGTTGATGGTATAGTCAAATTCCAGGCTATCCTTTAACTTTAGATGTACTACTGAATCGTTTCATCCCATGAAATAGAGCAGTATTTAATATCCCTTGCAGCAAGAATGCCTTGAATTTTCTCTATGCTTATATCTGCTAGAGGGGGTTACTTTGATGAATAAAAGATATGACATTTTGAAAGTACTCAAATGGTGAACATACTGTAAATGTATTTATTAGCAAAGAATATTGTGCAAAAACTTTTGACTGGTAGTGTATACTGCACTCTACCACTAACCACTAACATGAATTGTACTCTACCTCTATCCATTAATATAACCTGTACTCCACTCTGTCACCAACTGCTAACATGAGCTGTACTCTACTCTACCACTATCCACTAATGTAAGCTGTACTGTACTCTAACACTAATTGCTAATGTGACTTATATTGTACTCTATTCTTAACTGGTAATGTGACCTGTATTCTACCATTAACCACTAACATGACCAGTGCTCCACCCTACCACTAACTGCTAATGTGACCTGTATTGTACTCTACAAATACCCACTTACATGAGCTATACTGTACTCTACCAATACCCACTTACATGAGCAATATCAGTTGCCAATGCCAGCACCACTAACATGCTGGACTGAGCTTGTACCAATGTACCACAACAACACTATTTCCAAAAGCTGAGGCTACCAAAGCATTACAGTGATAGGCAGAAGTGTGCAGTAAAATCAGAGCATCATCACCATGGAAACAGAATGTGGTGTATACCTTCTTGATGACTGTCTTCACTGTGTTCTATGGGATACTCTAATTCTGTGGAATTTTTTTGTACTCTTTTTGCAGCTCTCTGCAAATCATGGCTGTAGGATGCAACTGAGTAAATGTTAGGAAAATAAATCCTACTAGGACAGCTCAACTTTATTTGGGGTTAATCAGAGTCACTTTAATTGATGGCAGGTGTGTACCCAAAACGACTGAATGCTGTAATTAAATCAAAGGTAATTCAACAAAGTATTCGTTTTTAAGGTGTGCACACTTATGCAACCAGCTAATTGCATGTTTTTCCCTAAGAGATTTGTATGTTTTTCAGTTTCCGTTCAGTTTTCAGTAAAGGTCATGGGTCACATTAAAGGTGGGAAAAATTTCGAAATGATTTATCATGGTCTCAGTTTTTTAAAATCACAAACCTGGCATTTTAAGAGGGATGTGTACACTTTTTATATCCACTGTACATGCAATATACACCTTACATGTGGTGTACACTTTACACTCGGAATATACCTTACATGCAGTATACACCTTGCACGGTGTATACACCTTACACGTGATATACACCTTAGATGCGGTATACACCTTAGATGCGGAATACATTGTACACATTGTATCCTCATTCATTCCATTCGGATCCCTCAAAGCCTCTGCCATCTTGCAGAGAGGGTGGCACAATTTAAACAGGAGCTCTGATTTACTGCCTTGAAAACACACAGAATGTTTTATTTGGTGTCAGTTGTGTAAGAATTGAATTTAGTGTTTAAATCAATTATTCTGAAGTGGTACTTAACAAATTAGAACAAGCGATTGCCCCATGCAGAAGCTTTAACTGTGAAGCCGTCATTGGGTCTTCTCTCTGTCTGGGACGTTCAGCAAATTGGTACCACTTCAGGGGTCAAACATCTGTGTGGGAGAGACTTCCAACATTTCCTTTGTGAATCATGGTCATACAGATGAGAACAAACTGAAATGACCTGATTGTGAAATATTCCAGTGTCCTTCTCAAAAAAAAATAAAAAATGACACAGAAACGTCTTTTATATAAATATATACACGTGTTTGTGTCTATGCAAATGTTTTTTTTCTGTTGGTCTCCATCTCCACCTATTTCCTAATTTTCATTTTGCAGTAATAGTTGTAATAGAGATATTTCTCCTTATATAGTTAATTAAATAATAATAAACTTTGATTACAAATGACTAAAAAATGCAGAAATGTTTGACTGTATTCTGTGCTTATTAATGTTGTTTAAAATTATAGTAAAAATGATTTACACACCTGTTTTGTTACTTTTTCTCCACTCAACAGCTCCCCATTTTCACACATACATTTTCCAAGTCAGTGAATCTTTTGAAAAGTAGCCTGTATATTACAGATGACAGTGGATCTAGGTTTTGACTTCTTTGGGTCATGAGATGGGTATGTCAGCATGGCCAGACTGACATCATCGGCAGCTGGCTGGTAGAAAATAATAATGGAAACACAGAGAAAGAAAGCAGGTATGTAAGTGATTGTGTCAGCTGTTATCTAGAGACCAGGCTGTTTAGAGTCTGTTCTTGAGTAGAGAGACTCCTAGGCAGGATTTGGTTTTATTTACACTAAATTGTAAAAAGGTAGAAACATCACTCACAGTAAAGAAGGATTAATGTGGGTTGCTTATTTTCCCTCATGTACAGTGAATATTTATATTGTACACAAGAGAAGATGCTCCATTAACTGGAGAGTTATCCTCATCTCTGCGTGACTGAAGGAATAGCCACATACATAATGCATGTTTAGTATTTTCTGTTTTTTAACCTTCCAGCATGTGTAACGATAACAAAAATCTAATTAATAATGAATTAATAATTGATTTATTACCAGCTGATAATGAACATCTATGAATTATTTACAAGTTATATTTATTATCTCAGGCCCCTTCATGTTTCCATGGAGAGCTCTTGAGTGCTTCAGAGCACATTCATCCTAAAAGGTTTTCTTCTGAACAGGTGTGACAAGGTAGCTCAGATGAGGTGCCATTGTGTGCAGAATTGAAAGGAGATGGAGGGCTGCAAAGATATAGAAAAAGTTTATGCGTTTCCACGGTGGCTCTGGGAGCAGTTTTCACCTTTAGAATGAAAACATCGGCTGTGTAGCTGATTTAACCAAATGGCAGTTTGGAAGCAGCTGGGGAGCTGTAGGAAGAAGCAGCACAATCACACGTGCAGCTGTGTGTTAGCCTGACCCGCTAATCCTATCACCAACACGGAAAAATGAGGGGCATTTTGTGAAGTGTCTGTCACATGACAAAGCTATAAGCATCACAGGTCTGTCCCTGTTTGCCAGGGGACACCTCAGGACTGCCAGCTAAGTACCATACTGCTGGATGCTTAATCCCATTTGCCCAAATTAATAAAATCTCTATTGTGATGATTAAATGTAGACTTTTTTAATGAAGACCTGTATAGTCTACCTCTATATAAGTTTTTATGTACAGAGAGCCAGAGGGTTTAATATTGCATATTGTCAGAGAAGTGGTGTGTTCCCGAACTTCAGCCCATCCTCTCTCTCTCTCTCTCTCTCTCTCTCTCTATATATATATATATATATATATATATAATGGTTATTTCTAACAAATGTGTGTTTTAAGTTCTCTCTCGGTGTTTTGTATGGGTATGCTCACAGAGGTAATGATTTATTTGTAAAAGTTGATTGATTGAAGCTGAAATAAATGTAATGAGAAACCTTTCGTTTCCGACCTGTTTCATTTGATTTCCTCTAAATCGCTGTTTATGTGGCCCCGTTGCGCATCTGTTTCAGTCATACTGTTAACCTTGAATAGGGGCTCCGATGGCCGCGTCCTGTTTACGGTCCCTTCAGATAAATGCCAGACCGGCCATAAGACCGCATTGTCCTCCTTTTACTTATAAAGTAACTTTACATGTTACCTGACATCTTTCCTCCACGAAAATTAAGTTGAAAGGATATAATATTCCTACCGTTGTGCATTACGGTATGATAAAAATGTCTGTTTTAACACAATTTGATCCTCTATCCGACAAAACTAATTTAACTGTATCACAGTTGTAAAAGCTAAAAAGGGGTATCGATCACGCGTAGCTTTATAAATAGCGATAAAAACTAAGAATTAAAAATACATGCATTGCTTTTAGGTGACGTGTAGCAAGCAGGGTTAACTTTCTCTTCCCTGATTAATTAAGAGGACGCAGCATGCAAGACTCGCTGTTTTTGCTTATTGTTAGCCCAGGATGTTGGTAATAAACGATAGATAATCGGAATGAGCTTGACAATAGCGGACTAAAGGCGAGGTGCTTTGGTAGCGCTCCAGATCCCCTCTCCTCCACACACAGCTCCACAAGCGGAGCTCCACCAACTGGAGCCTAGGACATACGGCAGCGCACGAGCTCCGGCTGAACCTCCCCCTGCGTCGCAGTCACAGCCCGCCTGGCTGCCGTTGGGACGTCCAGACTGAGGAGCGCCTCAGTGCATAGCGATCAGCGCACATCCCTCGAAGTCCGCCCGCACGCGGATCCACTCCTTCCTGCGCCTTTTGTCGGAGTGGGAGCGTACGAGCATGGGCTCGACGTTTGGGTTCCAGCTGATGAAACGCCTCTGTCTGCTCCTTTTCCTGTTATATGAAGGTAAGCCTGTGTGCTCCTCTGTGACCGCACGCTGCGTTTCCTTTGGATGGCTAATTAGAACGTGCACCTTTAGCGAATCTTTTCTTTGATATTAGAGAAATTACTTTTCGCCAAAGCACCGAGCCTCAATTATGGGATTCCACACGTTTGTCACTGAAGTGGAGACACATGAAATCGTGCGACTCTTGGAACTTTATCAAGTTCAAATGTGATTTATATTGCAAATGTTATAAAGCAAAATAATTTAACTTCCCCCACGCCCAGTAAAGGTGAATTATAGCATTTTTTTCGGTGCGTCTTTTGTGTATCTGTCCCGCATGCATCAGAGCCGCCCGGTGAAGGTGCTGAAGTTTCTCTTCGATTAATTTGGGAAGAACAATAGGACTCAATTAAATTTAAATTAAATGATAAAAAAATAAGTTGAAGAGTTCTTTAGAAGGAATGTCTACTGAAACTTTTCGTAAAATTCGTGCTATACGGATATATATGTATTTCTGCACATATCATGAATTGCTGGATTTGAACATTGATGTGTAAACAGGTTGTGTACCCGATTCCTGATTAACCGATACTGATATATTGACAGATTTCGATCTCACTGTCACACGTTGTCCCCGGTGGCAATAGGAAATTTCATTAACTCTCGCTTGACATTTAAAAAACATATCAGCCCGTAAAGTGCAAGTTTTTTACAGTGGACAACAAAAATAATTGATCTCATATGCTGACACTAGTGGCCTATTTGTAAATAAATTTAAGGAAATTAAAGCTTTCTCAAACGCAGAGGTCATCTTTTTTCACATAACTGCAGGGCGTGGTTATAAAAACAAGATGGGAGTGATTCTAATGATGATAATGGCGTGAAGTCTCCCCGTTGGGTCATGAAGTCCCAGCTGAGTGGGAGTCCACAATGCCAATTCTCCAGCATTGAGCCCAGGGTTGCCTGCTTATCCTTGAGTAAGGTATCACCTACATTGCTGGAGAAATACACACCGCTGTATGGTAATATAATTATGATCTGGCAGTGAAAACCAGTCCAGCTGCAGCAGTGCCCATATTTACAGGCTTACTCATTGCTCGGAAGTCCGCGACCTGCAGCAGCTGTAATGAGAATAGTGATTCAACATGCATTAAAATCATGACACACTGTGCCCTTTAAATGAGCCTATATGTACGCACAGCTACGGGAAAAGGTGCACAATACTGATTCTCTAATTGCACCGTTCGACCATAAATGGGTTTTTTGACGTTACAATGTTTTAGCGTAGTGATAATGGTTACATGAAGACGGAAGGTAATTTATTCATTATAAGAAACTAATTGTGCTAAAATATGATGGGGATTAATTCATGATTTTTAAAGCTCTTGCTTGAAGTCTTTAAGGGCCACTTATGTTAATCGTCTCTTATTGTAACAGTGAATTACGCTTGAGTATAAGGGACACATAATATAAACTGTGATATTTTGGGTGCAATCTTTTTCTTTCTGTATGGGGCTATGATGCAGGGATCTTCACCCTGTCCGTACACAGACAAAAATGTTTTGATTGAGGGAATAATATATAGTCTTCGTTTTTAAATACCATTGCCGTGGTTAAAAAAAAGTATTTTGGAGTCATTGTCAGTGTGTTTAGCTGCTGCTGTATCCTGACAATGGTAATTTAAAAGGTGCATCTAAAAAAGTGCAGGAAGCAGAAGGACTCAGCTTTTCTTATTTCTTTTGTGATGAAGTGTTGAAAGGCGTGCGGAAAGGTGGTGTGCCAATCCCCTGAGCCTTTCTTTCAGCACGGATAGACATGGCGCTTTAATGCATCACGCCTGCGGACAGGTGCTGGCCAGGTGCAGCCAAGGCTAAGCAAACACCAGTGTTTGTCTTTGCAGGGTAAATCGCCGTCGGTTAAACGGGTGGACACTCACCCCTATTACCACTGCTTACATTGCTCGGGTCTCTATCCGGATAGCAAGGGACACGTCTTAAAGAACCCGTAGCTGTTGTGTATAAAAACGTCATCGCTGAAAAGTTTGCTCTAGTTAAAATTGGTTTGATCACACTGAGGCAGCAGGGTTCGGTCTTTAAAATAACATTCGGGACAAGAACAATCCCGTGTTCTAACGATTTGTTTTACCTTGTCGACTTGTCCTACTATAGCGTGTTTCGACAGATAGGCCTATATCTATCTATCGATTGCTGTTACCCTATCGAAAAATGTTACCGTCATTTTTATGAGCTGAAACTGAAAGCGATACTCCTAAAAATAATAAAGTAACTAGAGTAAAAAACTAACTAATGTTTAAGTAGCGCATCTCGATAGTCTGGCATAGTTTACCAGATTGTATTACCAGTGTTAAAACCACAGGTATCACATCTCGATAGACTGAAATAATTTATCAGAGCATCCTACCTTTATAAAATACATAGGTAGCACATTTCGATGGACGGAAACGCCTCATCAGAACGTACTCATCTAAAATAGATGAGTAGTACATCTCGATAGAGTGAAATACTTTAGCAGAGCATCGCAACTTTAAAAATATATGGGTAGCACAGCCCGATAGACTGAAACATTTATTCAGAATGTCCCACCTGGATAGGATTTCACGGTAGACTAAAATACTTTACAAAGATGTGCTGCCATAAATATATGAGAAATACTGACACATTATATACAGAACTCATGTCAGTTAATTTGATATACAACATGCAAAACATGGATAGTAAACCAGAACCCCAGCGCAGAACCCAATTATAGGACGTTTCAATAGGTAGGATGTGCCATAGGTTCCTGTATGTTTTTTTTTTTGGACAATTAAAATTATATTTAGAGGAGAGTAATGACCATCTAAGACAGGGGTGGCCAATCTTATCTGCAAAGGGCCAGTGTGTATGCAGGTTTTTGGGATAACCTGTAGGTCAGCTGTTCAAACCCAGGTGTGAGGACACTTCAGCCCACAATCAGTCCTCTCTCATTAGTAGCCTAATTAGGGAATTACAGCGAAAACATGGATAAGATTGGCCACACCTGATCTAAGATATTTATACATGAGTACAAATCCACTAATTTCCATTCAAAAAGTTAGCATTAAAAATGATCAATGAAGCTTCCTGACTTCCTGGCTTTGAGCCTTTTCCTGGATATACTTGAAAAGCGAAGGGACGGGGATGTACATAGCTTCAGGGTTGACCTTTCCATGCCCAAAGCTCCCCTGTTATTACTGGTCAAACCTATAAGAAAAGATTAATCATATCATACATTGTACATTTCACATAATAATTTGTATTGTACCATACAGTCTGACAAACGCACAGAATGTAAGTGTCTATGATATATGATATGATGTCATATGATACGATACTTTAGTGTCAGACATGATGAGTCTGAAATTTTTCTTGCATTACTGCAGCTCTATTTGTGATACCACAAAAAAGACTTAAAGTCACAAATACATACATTTAGCATATCATTGCAATAACAAATTCAATATACATTTAGTCTTGAATTAAGTTCAATATTTATTTTTAGGATTGATTGATTCACAAATGAGTGCTTCAGTCTAATCTTATTAAATCGTGGAACTCTGAATTTCTGGTTTGATTGTAACAATGTGTATTCACTAATCTAGTCAATGCTAGTGACAATCGGTGTTTTTTTAATAACTTTTATTGGGAACTTAGAAAATACAAAAGGCAACAATCAACACTTGTCTGCATGGAGGTGGTTGTTCTGGGGGTTGTGAAAAGATTTCCGGCGGGATGGGACTATGGCTGTTTGTTTGGCCCAACAGAGCCACTTGTCAAGTTTCCTAAGACCTTTTTCTCTGAACAGCAAAATTTATGTAATTGAATTAGAGCACCATTACCCGGCTATGCCTGTACTCCATTAACAAACATGACTCTCTCTCTCTCTCTCTCTCTCTCTCTCTCTCTCTCTCACACACACACACACACACACACAGCCCTTTGAAATACTTCCCAAACCCTAATATGTAATGAGGATGGAATGGGTTATCCTGTTAATGCCACACATACACTCACCTAAAGGATTATTAGGAACACCTGTTCAATTTCTCATTAATGCAATTATCTAATCAACCAATCACATGGCAGTTGCTTCAATG